GTTCACTTTGTACTTTCCTTGCCCCAGCCCCAGAATTAGCCATTTCTTCAAGGACTATTGTTTCCTTTGAGTGGGGAATAATTTTTAGAAACCAAAATCTGGTCTTTGCCCCTGGGATGAGTTAACTGTCTTAATATATATAGTATGAATATATGATATTACAGGTATTAGTGTAAATAAGTAATATATACACATATAATACACACACATATATATAATGATATCTCTAATTCCAACCTAATACCACACCATCGGGTTTTTTCTTTTTTTTCTGGGGTCTTACTCTACATGATGATCAGCTAAGGCCCCTCTAAGGAAGTGATATTTGGAATTAAATCAGAATAATATTTAAGAACCAGCCATGAAAAATTCTAGAAGCAGATCATTACAAGCAGATGGAGCAAGAACAAAGGCCTAAGGCAGAAATAAGTGTTTGAGAAACAGAACAGCCAGAATGAGTGGAGGTGGCTAAAGGGAGGTGGTTTGAAATGAAGTCAATCAGGCAGAAAGGAGTTGCCTCATGTAAAGCTATACTGGAGATGATAAGGAGTTTGGTATTTTTTTTAGTACAATAGACTTCGGAAGTTTTTGAGAAGGGGATTGTGGCAATCTGATTTATGTTTCGAAATATTACTCTGGACATTGTATAGTGAATGAATTGTTCAAGGGCAGGAATAAAAAGCAGAGAGATAGTTATGAGAATCGTAGTAATTTAGGCAAGATAAAAATAATGAGATTAAAATAGCAACAAATGAATAGATAAGAATAAATTTGAGAGATATTTTGGAGGTAGAGCTAATTGAACTAATTCTGAATTTTCAAATGGTTATTATGTATCTAATATGCTATGCATTATGCTAAGTCCCGGAGATAGAAACATTAACAAGAGACAAGTTAATGTTTTAACTTTTAAGGAGTTCATAACCTAGCAGAGGATAGATATGCAAATAATTTCAATACAGTGTGATGAACACATAATAATAGAGTTAACAATAACAATTGAATTTAGTACTAGTTAAAATGCAGGTACAAAGGAGGAAGAAATTGACTGTGCCCGAATGCAGGTAGTGATTATAAAGTCTTCATAAAGGATAGAGAGAGCCAAAACTCAACCTCTGTCTCCCCAACTCAACAAGATCACCAAACTCTGAATTTCTCTTCCCTCCTCTTCCAGAGAGTAAGCCTTGCAGATCACCTCAGTAATCTGGGTGAAGTAAGAAAGAAGTGGGCCTCTTGGGCAACAGCTCGCACAACTGGGGGAGGTTGGCACTCACTCACATGCTCTCACTTTCCTGTGTAGGTGAAATCACAGACTTTGCTAGGATTTAGAAGGGTAAAGTTTTCTGATATTGATTTGACCAATGGTTGGTGTGAGGCCTTTAGAAAATATCAGACTGAAGTCCATAAGAGGTTATGACTGAAATACAAGTCAATTAAATCAGAAAAATAAAATAAAACTGGAAATTTAGTTTCAAAATAGCACACACATGGCAGTCACTCTCACCAATGCATCTTAGAAATAATTGAAAATTTATTTTTCTAAAAAAACTGGAGCATTCCAGTAATGGTATAATTACTAATGGTGAATGAACTCTCCTGCAGATAACAATTATAAACTAAAGGACAGCCAAAAGGCAGCAGAAACTGGAGGCTTAACATTTGAAAGAAGGAAACTACATTAAGTAAGATATGTGTTTCATAGGCTTTGCCCCTGAGTGTATTCCTGAATCTTTGCAGTACCTGGAAGCTAGAATTGAAAGCGGAAAGCTAAGTCTTATTGAGTCTGGGACTGCCAGAGTGGTTGGAAATTGAGGAGGGGAGGAAATTCTAGAAAAGAAGGAGCTTTGAAAAGTGAAACCCCAAATCTGCATATAAAAATGCCCTTCATCTCAACAACAACAACAAAAACAATCAATCCAATAAAAAAATGGGCAGAAGACCTGGACAGATACTGCTCCTAAGAAGACACACATATGGCCAACAGGTATATGTAAAGATGCACAACCTCACCAGCTATTAGGGAAATGCAAATCAAAACCACAATGAGATAACACCCCACACCTGTTAAAATGGCTATCATCAATAAGACAAATAGTCATAACAAGTGTTGGAGAAGTTGTGGAGAAAAAAGAAAGCTCATATACTGCTGGTGGGAATGTAAATTGGTATAGCCACTATGGAAAATAGTATGAAGTTTCCTGAAAAAATTAAGAATAGAATTACCGCATGACTCAGCAACTATCTTCTGGCTATCTACCTCCAAATATTTGAAAATATTTATCCATAAAGATATATGCACCCTGATGTTCATTGCAACTTTATTCATGGTGGCCAAGACATGGAAACAACCAAAGTGCCCTTTGATAGATGATTAGATAAAGAAGCTGTGGTACATATATACAATAGAATGTTAACCACAAGAAGAGATGAAATACTGCCATTTGTGACAACATGGATGGACCGCGAGATAATCATGCTAAGTGAAATAAGCCAGACAGAAAAAGTTGAAAATCACATGATATCACTTATATGTGGGATATAAACCTAAAAGCAACAGATGAACAGGACATGAACTATAGACTAGTGGTTACCAGAGAGTAGGGAGTGGGGGGAAGCGGGAGGTAGATGCGGGGGGGAAATTTTTTAAATCATTTCAATTAAATAACAAATTTTTAAAATTTTTAAAATAAATAAATTTAAAAAAGAGAAATACTGCCATTTGCAACAACATAAATGGATCTCGCGATAATCATGCTAAGCGAACTAAGACAGAAAAAGTTGAGAACCGTATGATTTCACTCCTGTGTGGGATATAAAATTGAAAACAACAAACAAGACAAACAAAAACTCATAGACAGACAACAGTTTAGTGGTTACCAGAGGGAAATGCGGGGAGGTAGATAAGCTTAAAGGGGATCAAATATATGGTGATGGAAGGAAATTTAACTTTGGGTGGTGAACACACAATGAAATATACATATGACGTGTTACTGAATTGTACACTTGAAACCTATATAATTGTATTAATCAATGTCATCCCAATAAATTTAATAGAAAAATAAAAAATTAAATAAATTAATGCCCTCCACTCCATGGCTATTTTTAAAATTTTATTTATTAAAATTTTTTTCCAGTTTTATTGCTATATAATTGAAATATAACATTGTATTAGTTTAAGATGTACAATATAATGATTTGATACATATATATATATATACTGCAAAATGATTGCCACAATAAGTTAATGTCCATCACCTCACAGTTACAGAATTTTTTCTTATGATGAAAACTTTTAAGATATATTCTTAGCAACACAAAAATATACGTTATTGTTCACTAAAATCACCATGCTGTACATTACACCCCCAGAACTTATTCATCTTATAATTGGAAGTTTTTACCTTTTGACCACCTTCATCCACTTCCCCCACTTCGATCCTTTGCCTCTGGCAACCACTGTCCAATCTGTTTTCTGTTTCTATGAGTTCATTTTTTTTTTTTTAGATTCTACATACAAGTGAGATCATACAGTATTTGTCTTTCTCTCTTATTTCACTTAGCCTAATGGCCTCGAAGTCCATTCATGTTGTAGCAAAGGGCAGGATTTCCTTCCTTTTTTAATGGTTAAATAATATTCCATTTATATATTATACATTTTATTTACCCATTCATCTTTCAATGGACAGTTAGATTGTGTCCATGTATTGGCTATTGTAACTAATGTTCCAGTGACCATGGGGTGTAGATATCTCTTCAAGAAAGTGATTTTATTTCCTTCAGATATATACCCAGAAGCAGAGCTGCTGGATTCTATGGTGGATCTATTTTTAAATTTTGGAGGAAACACCATATCGTCTTCCCTAGTGGCTCAGCCATTTTACATTCCAACCAACAGTGCACAACTTTTCGGCTTGCATGGATGTAGACTGCTGTAATTTTGTATGTACTGGTCACTGGGCTTCTCAAAAAGAACTATACACCTATGTTACAGAGTAGCATTTTAATACACAAGTAAATGTGTTAAGTTTTGAATAAATTCAAATTATTATGTCATTACCATATAGCAATTATTTTATATGCATAGATCTCTTTATTTCTTTTTTGTAATGACAAGAATTTGGTTAGTTTGCTTTGGTTATAGTTATAGGAACAAAACTCGTTCTCGTTTATGCGAAAAGAATTTATTTTAAAATTACAAGAGTACCTTACCAAAGCCAAGAACAACAGTTAAAAACAGGCCTCAGGGATGGTGGCCAGTAATAGAAATCAAATCTTACTAGCTTAAGCAAAAAAGAGAGTTCATAATTAGTATACCAGCATGCCTTGCCAAGCCAAGGGCAGGCTTCATGAAGGGCTGGAGCAAGGAAACAGAGCAGTGTTAGAACAACAGGAATCATGTTCTCCTGATCTCTCATCTCTGCTTTTCACTTTGCAAATGCTTTGTTGCTTTCTCACTGCAGATTTGCTGTTCTTTTCTTCCAAATCACCAGGTGGGACATGGCAGCTCATAGCTCCTCAGTTTATGTTTCCTCTATTCCATCCACTAGTCAGACCAAGGCTAAAATGATTCTTATCTCTAATTTCAAATTCCTAGGGAAGTTTTAGAATCTTACTGAAATGAGAGATGATTTCTTTCTCTGAGACAGGCAGTAAAACAGACACTGAAGAACATCAAGAGACAGAGACCAGTTAAATTTTTTTTCCTGTTCCTTAAATATCTTGAGCTGAAATAGCTTACTTAGATTTAGGAGTGGATATAAAGAGATGTCCTCATAACCCATAAACACACTGTGTAGAAATGGCCAAGCGCTTCAAAAGAGAGAGGTGCTCTAATCCTTGTTAATATTTCTCCTGGGACAGAAACGATAGGCTTAGGTAACGCTACTATCTTATTCAAGAGAAGTTTGTTGTTGTTTTTTTTTAATTTATTGTAATAAGTATAATTTATCTCTTGGGAAGATATGCACAGGTTTTGTTATGAGTAATTTAAGCACAGAATGTAATATTATACTTTGTTAATTGTTTTTTCAAGAGAAAAAATAAAAGGGACTAATTACATGGAGAGTATTCAGGAGAAAGGGGGAAAAAAAGGTTAATTTCATGATAGGTGTCAGAAATCCCTGAGAATCATAGTAGAAATCTGGCCAAGGGTCTCTTAGATTCATCTAGCTTGAATAAGGTGACTATGAACATAACTGTTCCCATTTTCACGATAGTGGGGTGAGGCGTGAAGAACTATTCTGAGAAAAAGACAGAGGGGACAGGGAAAAGAAAATTATTGTCTAGATTCTTTGTAATATTACAGGCTCCCCTAGAGAAGCAAAATTATATTGCTTACCAAAGTCATGACATAATAAGATTTGAATAGTAGGTGATTTGTATATTGAAAATTCAGAAAAGCTGAGGGAGGTATTCCACCCAGCCCTACCCACATTGAAATAAAACTGAAAATGTCAAAAGTATAAGGAAATGCTGTGAATGTTTTATTCAAAAATATATTTGTGCTGAAGAGTTCTTAAAGTATTTCTCCTGTATGTTGAAATACATTTGTATTATTTATTATGTCCTTTGATGAGATTCAAAAAGTTAAACTTAATTACTGTTCATGGTATCATTCTAGTTCTTCCTGTAATTTTGTTTCTAGAAATAAGATTCAGCAAGGGAAGTAGGACCACTCTATGGCAAAGGACAAAAAAAGCAATAGTAGCATGGACCTGTTAAAAGACTCAGAAGCTGGTAGTTCAATTTTAACTTTACATGATTTCAGTGTATACAAATTTCCGAAAGAAAAAAGTCATTCAGTATTATGTTGAAGGTTTTGTATTTCAACCTCTGTATTTCTTTGTGAAAACATTTCCTTAATGCTGTCATCTTTTTGATCGTCATAAAGTGTCATATTCAGTACATTTTCAGTACATTCTTCTAATGGAATGGTTGACAGGTATGAAAATACTTTTTCAATTAGAGGTTCCCTGAGAAAAGGCATTGGAGAGCTCTTTTTTGCTAGAGAATCATCAGAAAACCAGTCATCAGCTGCTTCTACACTTTGGCTATAACAAGAATCAGATGGTAATGTAGACAAGCTTAAAGTAACACTGCTGTGATCTGTTGCTGAGCTAATCTCTGAAGGGTCACAAATGACTTTTTTTGTTGCAAGGCAGAATTCATTTTTAGAGTGATCTTCAATTGCTGTAAAAGAAAATTAGATTTACTATGACTATTACATATTCATGAGCCAAATCTTAATTATAAGAACAATGTTTCTTTTTAAAATTTAGACTTTTTAAGGTCATAATGAACAGTATGATTATGTAGTGAAAATTCTAGGTTGCTATCATCATCTGTACAATGTTAAATGGGTAATTGGGAATTATCAATATTTTTACAATAATCAAGAGTAGAAGTCTATTCTAAATAAAATCAATTTATTTTAACAGAAGAATCTAAACAGGCTAGAAATCTCAATTCTGAAATATTCCTTAAAATCAGAAAAGACAGTTTCTTAACTACTTATAGCTAAATATTGCCTTATTTTAAAAATAAATTAAAAAAAAATACATGCCTCCTTGAGTAGGCAGATTACAAAATGTTTGGTCCCTAGTGGGAACGGCCTATGGACTGGCTTTACATTAATAAAAGTCACGACTAACATTTCTATAGTGCCTTACAATTTGCAAAGCAGTTTGACAGACTTCCATATATTGTTTAGCTTTTCAGTAATTCTTAATAAGGAAATCACCAGCATTTCCTTATTATTTGCACCACTTTACATAAGAGAGGACTGAAAATTAGAGAAACAACCCCACAGATCAGATACAAAATGGACTTGTAACTGGATTTTTGTTACTCTAAGTCTCATGCTTCTCCCATTATATTACTTATGCTGACAGTATTAAAACATGTTAAGTTTTAGAAAAGATCACATTTATACAATATCCTAACATGTCTTTTATAATATTTTACATTTTAACTTTTGATGTTAATATGTAACAATTTAAGCTAGTTTAAATACCTTATTATATTTTATATTTAGGATTTCTAAAATTATATAGGAGGATAATGTTTTGAGGTACTAAGACATATTATGCACTATCTAAAGATTTACAAATCACTCAGGTCTCTTGATCCTCCAGCGTTACTATATAGTATTGACTAAATACCATAAATATGAGACAAAAATTAAAATTTTAGGTATAAATAAGAGACAAAAATTAAAATTTTACTATTTAAGATATGATATTGCAAATTTTGGTTTTCTAAAAATATATGTGCCCACTCACATACTGATAAATTAATATTTCCCTTGAATTTTCATGGTTTTAAAAAATACTTAATTTTTTAAGATGTGGATTGTACGTTGATTGCAAGTTCTTCTAACAAATTGTTAAGAAAAATTACCTTTTGTATGTGCTCTTTCCTTTTTTCTTTGTTCCTCCTATATAAAAAAGTTATTTGTATTTAAAAACAGTAGTTTTTATATAATTTCTTTAACATATATAATTACATATGTATTATAACATATATAAATATACCTAACATATATGAGTAATACATTTTAACATAATAAATTTTTGATAGAATAATGTTTTTTCCCCACAATATGAATTTATTTCCCCAAAATATACTGACAGGAGAGTGTTGAGGTAACATCTGAAAATAAAGTGGGCTGGTTCAAGAAGGCATCTCCAAGATAGGAAATGAAAGGGTAAAAAAGTTAAACAAGACTACTTCTCTCCATCCTCACTTAGAATCGCTTGGTTAGAACTAGAGAAGGCTAACAAAGTAATCAAAATTTCTAGATTTGTTCATTTCATTAAAAAACAACAACAAAAAGTGAATTCTGGCTGAAAGTTTTTTATAAAAATGCAACTATTCTTTTGAAACAAATAAAAAAAAACATTTGTTGTAACAATCCATTCCAGATGTGTTACGGGAAATGTAATGGCGTAGTAGTTCTCAAACTTCAGGCATCAGAATCACCTGGCGTGCTTGTTAAAATGATGATTCTTGGGCATAATATCACACCCTATTGAAACATATTCTCTGGGAGTGGGGTGTGAAAGTATGCATTACAACATACACTGACGGCAATGGTTCTGACTCAGGTTTTCCTTTGACCACTAGAAAAACAATGAGTTAGTGCATAATGTGTTTGGGATGAAGTGGGTAAAGATGATGAGATTGGAGAGAGAACATTTTCTCTTATGTTCTCGGAGAACAGTGTTAGTACTTTGTGCTAATCTGCATGGTCCTGTCTCCCGTAAAAGGCTTGCTTACGGTATACATGTATATTGGATTCATGTAAGCACTTTTTTCACAACCAGTTTTACTTCTTTGTCACTTTCACCTTTTGTTAATATAAGTGCCAGTACAGGCTGCTAAAATGACCTTGTCTGGATTTTGGACCAATTCGGTTTGTGACTCCTATATAAATTATATATATAAAAAAAACAATGCTTCTCAGACATCAGTGTGCCTATGTATTATCTGGGGAGCCTGTTAAAATGCATATGCTAACGCATGAGGTCTGGGGTGGGGTCTGGGATTCTACATTTCTAACTGGCTCACAGGTCATGCTGATATTGCTGGTCTGGAAATCACAGAGTAAAGCCCCGAACTGATTAAAATTCTACCCAAACTATGGGAATGACAAAATAGGCATTCTTATATATTGCTACATATAAATAGGTAGAATTTTTCTGGAGGGCAATTTAACAAATTTACTTCTAGAAATTTATTATTCCAAGTAAATAATTTTGGATTCGTGTAAATATTCACTTAGTAGTATGCTCATCACAACATTGTTTAGCATTTTTAAAAATCGTGATTTAAAATTCTAAGAGCAAAGAAACAGTTAACTGTATTTTGATACATAGATATTAATACAATGGATATTCTTTCAACTATTGAAAACGATGCTCTAATATGAGAAGTAAGGACTCCAAAAATATGGGGACATATCAAAAAGACAGAGGAACAATCTTGAAGGAGTGCCCACTGGTTAAATTTTGGGAAATTTGAGTATCAAAATAATTTTAGTACTAGATTATAAGCTCCTGAATAAAACAAAAATCCATGAGTCTATACTGATAAATAAATAAAATAAAGAAGGAAGAGTGTCTTCCTTAAAGTAGAAGCCAAATGACAAATGTGGATGTGAGTAGTAGAATTGGAAATATCATTTTGCTGTAGTTTTGTAAAGACTGGCTCAGGCAAGAATAATTTCTATAGCTAGTAAGTAAAGTTTGATGAAAAGAAGGATATTTAAATGGTTTCAAAGTGTCACCACAGATTGTTTATTAATTGCTAGGCTAAAAATAGAAATAATACAGTGGGGGAAGAACAGACATCATCTCATGTGATTAACTAAAATCAGTAGTGAAGAGCAGACAAACACTGTTATGCCTTCAGATGTGATAAACTGAATCTGATCACAAGGAAAAGCCAAACTGAGGAATAGTCTTTGATCTATAAAATAACTGACTTGCATTCTTCAAAAATGTCACTATGATGAAAGACGAAGAAAGAAAATTTTAAAATATTTTGAACTGAATAATGATGAAAACAAAACATAAAAAATTGTGGGATGTAACAAAAGCAGTGTTTAGAGGAAAATCTAAATATTAAATGCTTATATTAGAAAAGAATAAAAGTCAAAGGATAATAAAATTGAAAATACCTAGCAAGACTGATTTAGGAAAAGAGAAATATAATCAGAAATAAAAATAGTGCCATCACTAACTATTCTACAGGTATTAAAAAGATAATAAGAGGATGCTATTAAAAACTTTGTGCCAATAAACTTAACAGAGATAAAATGGACAAAATCACTGAAAAAGATAAATTTCTAAAATACACAAAATAGAACATTTGTATAGCCTGATATCTATTAAAGGGACAAAATTCATATTCAAAAACTTTCTCTTGAAGAAAACTCCAGAGCTAGATGATTTCTCTGGTGAATTCTAGAAAAAAAGGTTTGGGAAAGCAATATTACTGATTACATACAAATTTTTATAGAAAGTAGAGGAGCAGGAAACACTTTCCAGTCATTTCTGTGACCAGAATAAATGTGATATTAAAATCTAACAGAGATATTATGAGATAAGAAAATTACAGAATAACATCCCTCATGAACATAGGTGCAAACATACTTTACACTATATTAATAAAACAAATCCAGTGAGGTTTATCCTAGGAATACAAGTTGGTTTAACGTTTCAAATTCAATGTAATTCACATTAACAAAATAAAAGAGAAAACCCATGAAATTGTTCACAATTTCAAAAGATGCAGAAAAAACTATTGGCCAAACCTTTTTTTCAGCACCCCTTCATGATAAAAAAAACAAACATGGAAACAAGCAAGCAAAAAAACAAAAACCTTCCAGCAAACAAGGAACAGAAGGGAATTTCCTCAAGCTGACAAATATGCATCTACCAATATCCCATAGCTAATCTCTTCCTTAAAAGTGAAGAGCTGAATGTATTCTCTCTAAGATTAAGAATACAGAAAGTATATGTATTTGCTCTTAACATTTCTATTTCATCATTATACTAGAGGTCTCACCCAATACATAGGAAAACAAAATAAAAAGCATAAAGATTGGAAAAGAAGTAAAACTGATGTTTTTCACAGATGATATGATTATGTATGAAGAAAACCTTATGGAGTCCACAAAAACACTACTGGAAGTAATAAATTTATTTGTAAAGGTTATAGAACACAGATCAGTGTAAACAATTGTAGTAAAGACATAAATTCACTAAAAATCTACCTATTAACAAATTGTAATTCCCATCAAAATCTCAACAAGATTTTTTCTAGTTAGAGAGAAGTTTATCTTAAAATTTATATGGAGAGCCAAAAGAAAAAGAAAAGTTAAAACGGTGTTGAAAAAGAAGAATGAAATTAGAAGAATCATGCTGCTCAATTTTATGACTTACTATGTGGCTTGGTAGAGACAGACATATAGATCAATGATGCAGATAGAAAATCCAGAAATAGACCCTCTCATATATGCCCAACAGATTTTTGACAAAAGTTACAAAAGCAATTAAATGGAAAGATAGACTTTTCAATAAATAGCACTAGAACATTAAACATCAGTAGCCCTCAAATGAACTTTGATCTAAACCTCATACCTTATGCAAAAATTAACTAAAAATGAATCAAAGGTAGAAATATAAAAGGAAAAATTAAAACAGCCAAAACAATGTTGAAAAAGAAAAAAGTTGGAGAACTTCCTGATATCAAAACTTACTATAAATCTACAGTAAATAAGACAGTGTGGTACTGGTATAAGAATAAATATATAGATCAATGGAATAGAAATAATATTCTGGAAATAAAAACTGACATTTATAGTCAACTGATTTTTGACAATGGTGCCAAAGCAATTCAATAGGGGAAAAGAAAGTCTTTTCAACAAATGGTGTTGGGAAAATTAGATATCTACATGCAAATGAATAAAGTTGGACCTAAACTTCACACAATATAAAAAACCTAACTCCCAATGAATCAAACATTTAAATATAAGAGCTAAACTATTAAACTCTTAGGAGACAATATAAGCATAAATCTTTAGGACTTTAAATCAGAGAATGGTTTTAGATATGACACCAAAAGCACAAGCAATGAAAAAAAAAGATAAATTGGACACACAAAAATCAAAAACTGTTGTTCATCAAAGCATATCATCAGAAAGTGAAAAGATAAACTTTCAATGTATTGTTGTATTCAATTCGCTACTATTTTGTTTAGTATTTTTGTATCTGTATTTACCAGAGATATTGGTCTATAGTTTTCTTTTTTTGTGTTATCCTTACCACGTTTTGGTATTAGTATACATTATAAAGATTATACATCAGTCTACGGCCATGCTACCCTGAACAAGCCCAATCCCATCTGATCTCAGAAGCTAAGCAGAGTCAGGACTGGTTAGAACTTGGATGGGAGACCACCTAGGAAGACCAGGTACTGTAGGTGTAAAAAATAAAGAATAAGAGATCGTAAGCTGACAAGGTCCTTGCAATATGTGAGGTGAACCAAGGGTTGCCTCACCTAAAAAAAAAAAAAGAAAATATTAAAATAAATGACATATTCATTCTACTACTCTGAATCAGTTAAAGATTGTCATGCTAAACAAAATAAGTCAGAAAAGTTGAGAACCATATCATCATCTCAGTCGTATGTGGGTTATAAAACTGAAAGCAACAAACAAACATGACAAACAGAAATTAATGGAAACGAACAGTGGATTAGTAGTTACCAGAGGGAAGTGGGGAGTAAAAGAGGTCAAATATTTGGTGAGGAAAGGAAATTTAACTTTGGACAGTGAACACACAATACAATATACATATGATGTATTATTGAATTGTACTCTTGAAACTTATTTGATTTTATTAATCAATGTCACCCAATAATTTTTAATAA